AAATTAATTTTATAATATTAAGAAGGTTGGAGTTTGGGACCATTTCGGTTTGAGATCATTCTCCCACAACTATTGATGATAATGGCAAGTTAGGATACAGCTTTCATTTACACTTACACTTGCGTGAGATCTTGGTTCTCTGTTAGTGGGTTGTCAAAGTCATATCACTTGAGTCAAGCTTGGCTTCAACTAAGTTTCTGTAGTCATATCTTCTCCCTTTAAACATGGTTCCTAGATTTCTAACCCCATGTCCCAAAGTCAAAACCATTTTTTTGGTTCCAAGTATTATTATATCAGTTCTAACTCTGATGAATTCAGTGTACTTGTTCATTTTCTGGCTCAACTTCAACTTTCAACTACTCCCTTTTAATACAAGCCCCTCAACTTTCATTTTGCATACATCATTGATGCATAACACAAAATTTTCACTTATCTTGGTGAATTTGAAGTACTAAACCCAGGAAAAAAAGTTACCAAAAATCTTCAACTTTGTCCCAGTTGACAGCCAGTAATTAGCTCTTGTAATTAACCAACAAAAACTTGATAAGTTAACTTGCTGGGCAGTTCCATTGACTGAGAGGCTGATGAAAGGCTTCAAACAAGTTTTTTTCTATCACCACAAATAAATAGGAGCATGAAGTTAAATGCTACTGAAAAAACTGTATACTGTCCAATTTAAAGCTATGGGCCTGCACAGGTTGAGACGACTTCTTAACTTGTAACATTGTGTTGTTGTGTAGTTGCTTGGTCCTTTCTGTCATTTTATTTGGAGTCTTTACCTATGAAACTTCTTACAAGCTCTTTTTTAATAAAATTAGAAAAAATGCAAGTTACCTGCATGCATTTAGTGAAGATGCTCCTTTGGATGGAAATAGAAAGTGTAAAATCATTTCGAGCACATTATATCCAATAATTGTTCCTAGTGAAGCTTAGGTCATCCCGTGGTCTCTTCACTACATTGAGAAGTTGGAGTTTCTGAGTGGCATGATTGACAATTTGGTTTATACTATCAGTAACTTTAGCTACAAGGAAGAATCCCATGTGTTTTTGAAAGCTGTCATGGTGGCAAGATGTTAATGTTCTAGTATACAAATGAAGAAATATTATGTTTGAAATAAAGATATTATGTATTCAGAATTAGCTTTATAATGCCATAAGTAAAAACTTCTGGTTGTCTTCTTATATAGCTGACAAGTTGGTGGAACTGAGTTTAAGGAGTTTTTATTCTATTTTAGCTGGCATATCTTTTTATGCTGTTACTGCAGTGTGCTTGGCTTCTTTTTAGTGGTGTTTGTGTAGTTCACCATGTCATTTAAAGTGCATATCGGGCATATTTGTTAGCAGGCAACCATGGATTTTCATGCCAATAACTCTGTATATATATTTTTTAACAGCTGAAAAAAGGGACGTGGTTGGTTTGCAAGAACAGGTAAGGGTCTGTTTGGTATACTATTTTCTATCCTATTTCCATCTTATTCTCAAAATACTGTTTGTTTCATTTTTAGGAAATATCTTATTATATTTATTCAATTACTTTTAGACCCCTTAAGTTTATTAATTTAATTAAAACTTCCAAAAAAATTTAAAAATTAACAAAAACAGCCCACCCACCCACTTTTGCCAGATTCTCGTGGCCACCACGGAAGGTGGCCGGAATCTGGTATAATGGAGCACTACCGGCTGGATCTTGCCGGTAGTGCACCGATCTATCATTTTCCAGCCATATCCACCTTGGATCTGGTCGTAGTTGGTCGTCAACGATGACCATATCTTTGACTATTGACCAAACATGGTTAGATCTGGCCGTCAATGGCTAGATCCACGGTGGATTTGGCTGGAAAAGGCCATCTCGACACATGATCGGCCAGATCCAGTTAGGGTGAGCGGTTCTAGTACCCTCCACTTTCCGGAGGAATCGGAACCGGAATCGCACAGTGCAGTTCTTCAAGGTTCCGGTTCCTTTCCCGATACCCTGTAAAAAATTAATTACCCCCTTATTAGTTAAAAAATGATAAAAATACTTTAAAAGTTACAAATACACCCCTAACAAATTTTGATTATTCATTCATTTTATGTCCAATGTAACTCATAACCTGTAATCTCTAGGCAACACTTGAATTCAATCGTTCATCACAATTCACATAAAATTCGTCAATCAAAACCAAAACACAAACAATTATTCATCACAATTCAAATTATAATGAATGTATAATAATTAAGTGATCATACTATAATGTATGTTTAAACTTATAATTATTTAAGTAGTTTTTAACAATATGTAACGTTATAATCAATTAAATTTCTAATGATTTAATTAATTACTTATGTTTAATGTTTATAATATAATGTCATAATTAATTAAGTAATTATTTAATTGTGTAATGTTATAATTAATTAAGTGATCATACTGCAATGTAAATTGTAATGTTAAATTAATTAAGTAATATACTATTTAATTATAATGTAATATTATAATTATTAAATTGTTAATTATTAATTAGTATTGTAATATTGTTTATATAATGTTATAATTAATTAAGTAATCATACTATAAATTTATAATGTAATGTTATAATTAACCCCCTAGATCCAGTCGGTCGAGTGCCGATACGAAAATCCGGCCATCCTCCGACGGTGGTGGCCGGCTGCCGGTATTTAATGGGTGGGTGGGGGTTTTTTTTTTGTAATTCTAAATGTTTTTATTAGGGGTGTTTAGTAAATTAACAAATCTAGGGGGTGTTTTGTTAATTTTAAATCTTACCTCGTTATTTCCACCCAACTCTAAAAATCAAAAATACTATCTAAAATACTAAACAACACACCCTAAATTTTTGCTCTTCTATTTCTATTGGGCATAAGGACTGCCTGCAGGGTAGAAACTATATTTTCTGTGGTTTTCAGGTTTTTGTTAGAAAGTGATTGAGTTACATGACAAGTACCTAGCATATGTAAATGATTGTTTCCAGAACCACACTCTCTTCCACAAGGTCTGTAATAGAAATTGGTTCAAAATTTTAACATCACATCCAGTAGTTCCTGTATAATCTGATTGTTTTGTGTTTTCCTGCAGTCTCTTAAGGAGGCTTTTGAGGTCTTCTGCAACAAGGGTGTTGCTGGAAGCTCAGTGCAGAACTCCTTGCCACTTTTTGTGATAATATTCTTAGAAGGTGGGATGAGAACTTAGTGATGAAGCAATTGAAGAAACACTTGAGAAGGTCCGTTCCATTGTTGTGTAGTGTTGATATAGCTTCTGCAGACAGATGTTAAACTTTTAATTGAATTTGTCATTTATCTACGGTAGTGAAGCTGCTTGCATATATAGCGACAAGGATTTATTCTCTGAATTTTACGTTAGATATGCATCACTTTTCCATTGTTGAATCGCTAGGTTTAAATAATATAGATTATTAGGATAATAGTCATTTAAGAAATTTATATTGCATGGCTGCTGGCAGAAAAAGCTTGCTCGCGGCGCTTCTTTTTGACAAGAGTGCTAATGATGACCATGAGAGAAGTATTTTAACAAAGCTGAAGCAGCAGTGTGGTGGTCAGTTCACCTCCAAGATGGAGGGATGGTCAGTACACTTTACTATCCTTGGTGAATTGGAAGTTTTCAATGTTAAATGCAGATACTTTGGAAACATTGAGAGAAGGTGATTCTTTATTCTTTGTTCTATGTATGTTTGTTTAATTTTTACCAGGTACGGACCTGACATTGGCGAAGGAAAATCAGAATATTTTGAGGAATATCTAACAGTAACCCAAATGCAAATCCAGGGATTGATTTGACAGTTACTGTTTTGACTACTGGCTTCTGGCCGAGTTACAAGTCATTTGATCTTAACCTTCCAGCAGAGATGGTAGGCTCATAAAATTCTTGTAAGACAGAAACGTTTTGTTAGATGTGAAGCCCATATATGCTTATTATTTTATTTCACTTTTTCTGTACATTAATATTACTCTGTTGAAACTCTGCTGCTTTAGGTAAAGTGTGTTGAAGTATTTAGAGATTCTATCAGACAAAAACCAAGCACAGAAAACTTACTTGGATATACTCACTGGGTACTTGTAACCTCATTGGGAATTTTGAAACCAGAACCACAGAACTGATTGTCACAACCTATCAAGTAATTGGCTCAAGCCATTTTTTTAGGTGTGGTTTCTGAGGTGGGTTTCTTCATGGCTACTCAGGATTTTTTGGTCTGCAGCTTCTGCCTTGCTACTTTCATTCCTCGATAGGCTGAGTTATTCAGAGATCATGACTCAGTTGAACTTGACTGATGATGAGTTATTAGACTGCTTCATTCCTTGTCATGTGCAAAGTATAAGATTCTCAACAAGAGCCAACACGAAAAGCATCTCTCCCACCGATCACTTTGAGTTCACTCAAGTTTACTGATAAATGAGGAGGATCAAGGTTCTGTAGCTGTTTCTAAACTCTTGTTCTGGTCTCTTTTTTTCTAATTACTGTTTTTCTCTAGGATGATTTGTAACATGTTCAATTTGCAGATTCCTCTCCCTCCTGTGATGAAAAGAAAGGTGATTGAAATGTTGACAAGGACAGACGGTATGCGATTGATGCCTCAATTGTTCGCATCATGAAGATTAGGAAGGTTTTGGGGCACCAACGTTGGTGCTGGAGTGTGTTGAGCAGTTGAGCCGCATGTTCAAGGTTTATATGGCAATTTTTTTTTGTGTTGTAATGTATCTGCCTTATCTTTCCTCATTTATAACTCAGTGTTAATTGAAATGTAAAATTTTGCAGCCTGATTTCAAGGCATTAAAAAGAGGATTGAAGACCTCTCACTCGGGACTATCTCGAGGGACAAAGCTAATCCCAATATGTTCAGGTACTTGGCATGACCGGTCTGGGTTCAACATGGAGTGGTGACTATTGCTGCTGGAAAAAGAGGGCCAGCTCATGGTGAAATAGGGCATATAAACAGCCATCCCGCCACAATGAGTGCCTCCTTTGGTGATTACTCTGGAGAGAACCTGCGATGCTTGTAAATTTTTGTCGATGGAGCCAGGTGTGGAGAACACAAGTATAGATTGTGACCGGTGGTGGAGAAATTGTTATTAATTTCATAATGTGGTTCACTTCACCAAGGGACCATGCAGATCTGTCTTCTTCTTATTGTTGGAATTGACGATAGATATTTTCTTTCATTCATTGATTTCTTTGTTAACCTTTTTACACTATTTTTTTTTTTAAACATTGTTCCCATATACTTCTTTGTTTGTGTTTCAGGTATTGCCATCTATAAGAGAGAAGCATGATGAGTTTATGTTGAGAGAGCTTGTAAAACGGTGGGCAAACCATAAGGTTATGGTCAGGTGGCTTTCTCGATTCTTCCATTATCTTGACCGTTACTTTATAGCTCGGAGGTCTCTGCCACCCCTTAATGAAGTTGGGCTTTCCTGTTTCCGTGATCTGGTATGCCATGACTGAACATGGTGCTATTGCATTTCCCGTTTGTATTTGTTTGGATTATTCTGTTCCTTTCTTCTAGAAAGCTATAGCTACTTAGATTTTTTTTTTTTTTTTTTTTTTTTTTAACATTTACTTTTAGTTTAGTTCTTCCGTATGATGTCAACTCTCCTTATAACAAGTCATTTGACATTGTAATGTTATGGGTATATTGTTTTAATTTTAGGTCTATCTGGAGTTGAATGGAAAAGTAAGAGATGCTGTAATATCTTTGGTATGTGTTGTTTCTTGCCAAAGTTCGCACCATGCATTTTAATTATTCAGCTAAGATTTATTAACAGAATTATTTTATATTAGATTGATCAAGAACGTGAGGGTGAACAGATTGATCGAGCTTTATTGAAGAATGTTTTAGATATATTTGTTGAAATCGGGATGGGGCAAATGGATTCCTATGAAAATGACTTTGAAGCAGCCATGCTTATTGATACATCTGGATATTATTCTCGGAAGGCTTCAAGCTGGATCTTAGAAGATTCTTGTCCAGATTATATGTTGAAAGTATGCTTTAAATGTTCTTGTTACATAAAACTTCATATTTTGTGTATTCCTAAATGATTCTAATGTGTCTGTTGGTACTTCCAGGCTGAGGAGTGTCTGAAACGGGAGAAGGATAGGGTTGCTCATTACTTGCATTCTAGTAGTGAACCAAAGTTACTGGAGGTTTGCCATAACGTTTAATTTAATATATCTATCATTTTTAGAGTAGTTAGTCAAATGGAGGATGTTTGTCTAGGTTTCCAAGATACTTAATTCCTTAACTTCATCATGTATTTTAAAGTTCTTCCATTTTATGAAGCCCCTATTCAAAGATTTATTTTTCCATCTGTATTGTTGTTTTTACAAGTCTATTTTCTCCTTTGCAGAAAGTTCAACATGAGTTGTTGACTGTATTTGCTAACCAACTGCTTGAAAAAGAGCACTCAGGATGCCATGCACTGCTTAGAGATGACAAGGTATTAACTGAATTATCATATATTTTAAATACATGCTGTAGATTGGTTGTAATTTAACCAGTAAATGCTGTGATTTTCTTCCTCTTTTCTGAATTATGTTTTAGGTGGAGGATTTGTCAAGAATGTTCAGGCTCTTTTCTAAAATACCTCGAGGATTAGACCCAGTTTCCAACATATTTAAGCAGGTGCTTTATATTTTTATTGAATTAAAGGCAACTCCAGTGTAGTTTTTTTTATTCCTTTTGTTTTTTGCACATTAATTCTCTTTCCTTCTGTCTCCCTGTGCAGCATGTTACTGCTGAAGGTACAGCATTGGTTAAACAGGCTGAAGATGCAGCGAACAACAAGAAGGTGTGTATATGTCTGTTCGTCGTTTAATTAGCTTACACATGAAGACTCCTTTAAAGCCTTACATTTATAATTGTTGGCATTCATATCCGAACGGTACTTTGCATTAATTGGAGCATTTATCTATTGCCTGAAGATGGAGGCATTAAAATTTTTGTTTTTGATATCATCTTCAAGAAAGTTTATTTCTTTTCTTAATTATTGGAGTTTCCAGTTTAGATTTTAGGCATTAATCTTTCTGCCTTGGTGCTTCCTGGGATACTTTCTGTTTTCTAGGGCTTTGGGTTTTGTGCATGTAGTAATATTTGTTTATGTACCTTTTTTGAGTTTACTTGAGCAAGACTGCGATAGTCTTTGAAAAAAATTGTTAAATTTGGTGTCTTCATACAACCTAGAGATTATTCACTTCTAGTGTGCATTTGGTGTGGGATTCTGTTTCTGACTACCTGTAGGATATACACCTACTCCACATTGGAGAGAACGAACCTAAGGTGAAAGTTCTTTATATGTGAAATCCCTCTTAACCTTACAAATATCAGCTGCTTTGCTGGGTATGGCACGTTTCACACCTGCCATGTTTTACTTGGTCAAAATTAGCTTTTAGATGATGGGAACAGTTACTGTTACATGTATACCCAAGTAACAGGTCTTCACTCCACCGTGTTCTTTTCTCTTGCCTTGCCTGGTCCAACCCCTCTGTGTTTGTGGCAGGTATGGGAATGGCTACAGGGCAGGGTTGGGGAAGGTGATATCCGGTTGGTTGCCTACATAAATTTTTGGAGTTGAATCTTTAGCATGATGGGGTATTAGAAAGTGCGTAGCTCTTATGTCCAATTTAAAGCTATGGGCCTGCACAGGTTGAGACGACTTCTTAACTTGTAACATTGTGTTGTTGGTAGTTGCTTGGTCCTTTCTGTCATTTTATTTGGAGTCTTTACCTATGAAACTTCTTACAAGCATCTTTTTTATAATAAAATTAGAAAAAATGCAAGTTACTGCATGCATTTAGTGAAGATGCTCCTTTGGATGGAAAATAGAAAGTGTAAAATCATTTCGAGCACATTATATTCAATAATTGTTCCTAGTGAAGCTTAGGTCATCCCGTGGTTCTCTTCACTACATTGAGAAGTTGGAGTTTCTGAGTGGCATGATTGACAATTTGGTTTATACTATCAGTAACTTTAGCTACAATGGAAGAATCTCCATGTGTTTTTGAAAGCTGTCATGGTAGCAAGATGTTATATGTTCTAGTATACAAATGAAGAAATATTATGTTTGAAATAAAGATATTATGTATTCAGAATTAGCTTTATAATGCCATAAGGTAAAACTTCTGGTTGTCTTATTATATAGCTGACAAGTTGGTGGAACTGAGCTTAAGGAGTTTTATTTCTATTTTAGCTGGCATATCTTTTATGCTGTTACTGCAGTGTGCTTGGCTTCTTTTTAGTGGTGTTTGTGTAGCTCACCATGTCATTTCTATATTAAAAGTGCATATTCGTGGCATATTTGTTAGCAGGCAACCATGGATTTTCATGCCAATAACTCTGTATATATATTTTTTAACAGGCTGAAAAAAGGGACGTGGTTGGTTTGCAAGAACAGGTAAGGGTCTGTTTGGTATACTATTTTTATCCTATTTCCAATGTTATTCTCAAAATAACTGTTTGTTTCATGATTTAGGAAATACTATTATATTTTATTCAATTACTTTTAGACCCCTTAAGTTTATTAATTTAATTAAACACCTCCAAAAAAAAGTTTAAAAATTAACAAAAACACCCCCACCCACCCACATTTGCCAGATTCCTGCGGCCACCGTCGGAAGGTGGCTGGAATCTGGTATAATGGAGCACTACCGGCTGGATCTTGCCGGTAGTGCACCGATCTATCATTTTCCAGCCATATCTACCTTGGATCTGGCCGTAGTTGGTCATCAACGACGACCATATCTTTGACTGTCAACCAAACATGGCTAGATCTGGCCGTCAATGGCTAGATCCACGGTGTATTTGGCTGGAAAAAGCCATCTTGGCGCATGATCGGCCAGATCCAGTCGGTCGAGCGTCGATACGGAAAATCCGGCCACCCTCCGACGGTGGTGGCCGGCTGCCGGTATTTAATGGGTGGGTGGGGGTGTTTTTGTAATTCTAAATGTTTTTATTAAGGGGTGTTTAGTAAATTAACAAATCTAGGGGGTGTTTTGTTAATTTTTAAATCCTACCTCGTTATTCCCACCCAACTCTAGAAATATCAAAAATACTATCTAAAATACTAAAACAAACACACCCTAAATTTTTGCACTTCTATTTCTATTGGGCATAAGGACTGCCTGCGAGGGTAGAAACTAATTTTCTTGTGGTTTTCAGGTTTTTGTTAGGAAAGTGATTGAGTTACATGACAAGTACCTAGCATATGTAAATGATTGTTTCCAGAACCACACTCTTTTCCACAAGGTCTGTAATAGAGAATTGGTTCAAANCAAATGAAGAAATATTATGTTTGAAATAAAGATATTATGTATTCAGAATTAGCTTTATAATGCCATAAGGTAAAACTTCTGGTTGTCTTATTATATAGCTGACAAGTTGGTGGAACTGAGTTTAAGGAGTTTTATTTCTATTTTAGCTGGCATATCTTTTATGCTGTTACTGCAGTGTGCTTGGCTTCTTTTTAGTGGTGTTTGTGTAGCTCACCATGTCATTTCTATATTAAAAGTGCATATTCGTGGCATATTTGTTAGCAGGCAACCATGGATTTTCATGCCAATAACTCTGTATATATATTTTTTAACAGGCTGAAAAAAGGGACGTGGTTGGTTTGCAAGAACAGGTAAGGGTCTGTTTGGTATACTATTTTTATCCTATTTCCAATGTTATTCTCAAAATAACTGTTTGTTTCATGATTTAGGAAATACTATTATATTTTATTCAATTACTTTTAGACCCCTTAAGTTTATTAATTTAATTAAACACCTCCAAAAAAAAGTTTAAAAATTAACAAAAACACCCCCACCCACCCACATTTGCCAGATTCCTGCGGCCACCGTCGGAAGGTGGCTGGAATCTGGTATAATGGAGCACTACCGGCTGGATCTTGCCGGTAGTGCACCGATCTATCATTTTCCAGCCATATCTACCTTGGATCTGGCCGTAGTTGGTCATCAACGACGACCATATCTTTGACTGTCAACCAAACATGGCTAGATCTGGCCGTCAATGGCTAGATCCACGGTGTATTTGGCTGGAAAAAGCCATCTTGGCGCATGATCGGCCAGATCCAGTCGGTCGAGCGTCGATACGGAAAATCCGGCCACCCTCCGACGGTGGTGGCCGGCTGCCGGTATTTAATGGGTGGGTGGGGGTGTTTTTGTAATTCTAAATGTTTTTATTAAGGGGTGTTTAGTAAATTAACAAATCTAGGGGGTGTTTTGTTAATTTTTAAATCCTACCTCGTTATTCCCACCCAACTCTAGAAATATCAAAAATACTATCTAAAATACTAAAACAAACACACCCTAAATTTTTGCACTTCTATTTCTATTGGGCATAAGGACTGCCTGCGAGGGTAGAAACTAATTTTCTTGTGGTTTTCAGGTTTTTGTTAGGAAAGTGATTGAGTTACATGACAAGTACCTAGCATATGTAAATGATTGTTTCCAGAACCACACTCTTTTCCACAAGGTCTGTAATAGAGAATTGGTTCAAAATTTTAACATCACATCCAGTAGTTCCTGTATAATCTGATTGTTTTGTGTTTTCCTGCAGTCTCTTAAGGAGGCTTTTGAGGTCTTCTGCAACAAGGGTGTTGCTGGAAGCTCAAGTGCAGAACTCCTTGCCACTTTTTGTGATAATATTCTTAAGAAAGGTGGGAGTGAGAAACTTAGTGATGAAGCAATTGAAGAAACACTTGAGAAGGTCCGTTGCATTGTTGTGTAGTGTTGATATAGCTTCTGCAGACATGATGTTAAACTTTGTAATTGAATTTGTCATTTATCTACAGGTAGTGAAGCTGCTTGCATATATTAGCGACAAGGATTTATTCGCTGAATTTTACAGGTATATGCCATCACTTTTCCATTGTGAATCGCTATGTAATAATATTTTTAGGATAAAGTCATTTTAGAAATATTAACTTTACATTGCATGGCTGCTGGCAGGAAAAAGCTTGCTCGGCGGCTTCTTTTTGACAAGAGTGCTAATGATGACCATGAGAGAAGTATTTTAACAAAGCTGAAGCAACAGTGTGGTGGTCAGTTCACCTCCAAGATGGAGGGGATGGTCAGTACACTTTACTATCCTTGGTGAATTGGAAGTTTTCAATGTTAAATGCAGATACTATTGGAAACATTGAGAGGAAGGGTGATTCTTTATTCTTTGTTCATATGTATGTTTGTTTAATTTTTACCAGGTTACGGACCTGACATTGGCGAAGGAAAATCAGAATAATTTTGAGGAATATCTAAACAGTAACCCAAATGCAAATCCAGGGATTGATTTGACAGTTACTGTTTTGACTACTGGCTTCTGGCCGAGTTACAAGTCATTTGATCTTAACCTTCCAGCAGAGATGGTAGGCTCATAAAATTCTTGTATAGACAAGAAACGTTTTGTTAGATGTGAAGCCCATATATGCTTATTTATTTATTTTCACTTTTTCTGTACATTAATATTACTCTGTTGAAACTCTGCTGCTTTAGGTAAAGTGTGTTGAAGTATTTAGAGAATTCTATCAGACAAAAACCAAGCACAGAAAACTTACTTGGATATACTCACTGGGTACTTGTAACCTCATTGGGAAATTTGAAACCAGAACCACAGAACTGATTGTCACAACCTATCAAGTAATTGGCTCAAGCCATTTTTTTAGGTGTGGGTTCTGAGGTGGGTTTCTTGATGGCTAACTCAGGATTTTTTGGTCTGCAGGCTTCTGCCTTGCTACTTTTCAATTCCTCAGATAGGCTGAGTTATTCAGAGATCATGACTCAGTTGAACTTGACTGATGATGATGTTATTAGACTGCTTCATTCCTTGTCATGTGCAAAGTATAAGATTCTCAACAAAGAGCCAAACACGAAAAGCATCTCTCCCACCGATCACTTTGAGTTCAACTCCAAGTTTACTGATAAAATGAGGAGGATCAAGGTTCTGTAGCTGTTTCTAAACTCTTGTTCTGGTCTCTTTTTTCTAATTACTGATTTTTCTCTAGGATGATTTGTAACATGTTCAATTTGCAGATTCCTCTCCCTCCTGTGGATGAAAAGAAGAAGGTGATTGAAGATGTTGACAAGGACAGACGGTATGCGATTGATGCCTCAATTGTTCGCATCATGAAGAGTAGGAAGGTTTTGGGGCACCAACAGTTGGTGCTGGAGTGTGTTGAGCAGTTGAGCCGCATGTTCAAGGTTTATATGGCAATTTTTTTTGTGTTGTAATGTATCTGCCTTATCTTTCCTCATTTATAACTCAGTGTTAATTGAAATGTAAAATTTTGCAGCCTGATTTCAAGGCAATTAAAAAGAGGATTGAAGACCTCATCACTCGGGACTATCTCGAGAGGGACAAAGCTAATCCCAATATGTTCCGGTACTTGGCATGATCCGGTCTGGGTTCAACATGGAGTGGTGACTATTGCTGCTGGAAAAAGAGGGCCAGCTCATGGTGGAAATAGGGCATATAAAACAGCCATAGCCCGAGCCACAATGAGTGCCTCCTTTGGTGATTACTCTGGAGGAGAACCTGCGATGCTTGTAAATTTTGTCGATGGAGCCAGGTGTGGAGAACACAACTATAGATTGTGAACCGGTGGTGGAGAAATTGTTATTAATTTCATAATGTGGTTCACTTTCACCAAGGGACCATGCAGATCTGTCTTCTTATTATGCAAAATCCATTTCATGACCTAGTTGAAGTTTGTTTGTGAATTTATATCTTGCTTTCCCTGCGCTAAAACGTGTATTTTCATCTATTAAAATTGCATTTTGATTGTAAGCTAAGAAGTATCAAGTGGAATGGAATGTCTTTCTTTCAATGGGAAATCCATGCCTCCCATATTTTATGCTTCCTTCAATTTACTCTTTTACAGGGAAACACTCAATTCCTAAATCAAAGGCAATGACCAAAAGATATTAACACGGAAATGCTTGAATAGATTGTGTGACGTCGGTTGGAAGCATTGGAAATTGGGAAAATTGAACATGGAAGCATGTTTTAAAAACCGGACCGGTAGGCAATCGCTCTGCTAGTTGGGTTACGGTTCAATCGGTCCAACCGGTTGGACCGTCGGTTGGGCCGGTGTGGTTATCACACACATGATGACATCAACACATTTTTAAAAACTTTTTTTTTTTAGATTTCTATTTTTAATAAGACAAAACAACTTAATTACTTTCTAATCATATAATTCAGTTTAAATTCAACAACAATCCTAGCATAATTTAAGTATTAAAATAATTCAAAGTCTAAATCTAAACATGATGTTGTATTTACTATTAAATATCAAAATACATACTAATTAATAACAAATATTTAATGCAAGTGTTTTTTCTTGATCCGTCTCCATGTTGATTAAGGTCACACACTAGCATCAAATTCATCACATCATCATCACATCATCATCATCATCACCATCTACGCAAATTTAAGTAAAAATAGAAATCATAAGTTAAAACTTGTAATTTAATTTAAATAGATACTAGGTTGCTTAAATAATTGAAACCAACCTTGTAACCATTGTTGAATCATAAAAAGAAGGGTGATCAGCAACTCCAGTAGGAATAGATCCTCTCCATATAACATTTGTTCCCCAATTCCCATAATTAAGTTCACTGACCTCCTCTCTTCATCGTCAACTATCCAACCTTCAGTTTTGTCGATACTTTCATAATCAATAGGATCCAAACTTATTCTCTTGAACACTTCTTAAATACCATAATGAAATATTAAAAGCATGACAACTAAAATGAAGGAAAAATAATAGATATAACAAAACGAGTGATGCATAATTGGTAATGACAATGTTTTATACCTGTTTGCAAAGCAAGTTATAGTGAACGAAAACAAGATCATTCAACCTTTGATGCTCCAATCTATTCCTCTTTTTAGTATGTATGTGCTCAAAAACACTCAATTTCGGTCACATCCAGAAGAGCTTGAAGTTTGACTAAGAATTTTTATTGCAAACTTTTGCAAATTGGAGTACTATACCCAAATGATCTCCACCATTCATCTAATTGAAAATTAAACATAATAAATAAATTAGACTTAAAAAACAAAAGAACTTATAAATTTTATAACTATTAAGTACCAGGATGTGTGGTTTTGGCGGTTTCAAGAGCAAGCCCACGGAAAAAGCTTTCCTCTCGATTTGAATAATCTACTCTCTTCCATTAACCTTGTCTTGCTCAATTGAAAGACTTGCTTTACTGTCAATAGTATCAAGGAAAACCACTATAACTTCTGGCTTGAGGCAAAAAGATTCTTCGTCATATTTAAAGGCAGGATTCAAATAATAAGCCGCAGCATGGATATCAAGACGCAATGTCCTATCCCAACGTAGCTTAATGATTCGTGTATAGGCTTGTAGAATTTCTTTTATTCTTAAACAACTTCTTAATTGCATTTTCGCTCTGTACATGCCACATACACATATCCTATTGCTGGCTTCTCATCTGAGTCAACAATCCAACAAGCGCATCAATGGATTCACAACTTTGGATATCTTACCCATATCATCCCAAAAATCGTTACAAAATTATGTCAATAAAATGTTTGCCTTTATTACTTTTTGCATATCGAGAATCGACAATGACCTATCTGTCACCATGGCTTGCAAGTCATGTTTGTGCTCATGAAAGCTCTCATTGCAATGAAAGTTATAGCAAAACGGGTTGCACCCGGACGAACAATTTCTTTCAAACCTGTTCAATTGAATAAATAATAGATGTTAGTCAATAATAAAAAATGCATATTATGTTATGATTGACAAGAACATGAGCTAAAAGTATATTACCTGTCTTTTCCTCAACCAAGCTATCAAAAAAGTATGATATTATATAAACTTCGTCACCCTCAGAGCACGTCTCGCAAGATAAACTATGTGATCCATCTCAGTATGTCTTTTAACACCAAATTTATGCTATATGCTGCACAGGGTGACCAAGTAATACTCGGATATTTCTCAGACAATAATCTTCCAGCAGTTTATAATTGGATCCATTGTCTGAGACAAAATGGACAATACTATTTGGTCCAATCCATAAAACTACCTCCTCAAACATCTTCAACAATGTCCCAGCATCCTTCACAACATCTGAAGCATCGACTGATTCACAAAAACAAACTCCCTTAGGACAATACACCATAAAATGATCAATGACCTATGTGAATTATCAGTCCAACCATCAGCCATTAAGGTACATCCAACATTTTCCCAAATCTTTCTATAACTATCAACAAGAAGCTGCACTCCTTCTTAGCATCTCTTAACAAATGACACGCAAAGATGATAATTTGGGTGTTATAACCAGGCCCAATTGCGGCTATAGCATCCACCAAAGGCTGAAGATAAATTGAATTTAGAGCATTAATTAGGAGCAAGCATCATAAAAGAATCTTCCAAAAGCCATGTCTGCTCTCCACGTCGCATCTTTTCAGCTAAACAACTCCTAATTGATGGTTGAGATCCACCAATTGTCCTTGGAGCAAAATAGTCACCAACCCCAATAGATTTGTTTCTCTTTGATTGTCTAGCATTGTACTTTGTTTTTTACTGCCAAACCTACCTTCATTTATGTGAATTTCTGATGGACGAAATTTCACTATCTTCTCATTAACATATCCCCTCAAATACATGTACGGAAGCAACGTAGGGAGGATTTATACTTACTAGAATCAACCTTCTCTTTACCTTTATCCCAATGTCTTTTAGTGATTCTTCATGGAGTATTGAACATCAAAAGGAACTTTTTTACAAGCACCAACATCCCCCTTTGTTCCGGCTAGATGTTGTTCATTCTAAAAATACCTCCTCCTCTAGTTACTTCCCACAGTGAAGACATGTTAATGTCTTCCTTCCATTTGGATAACCCTCAATAACATGTGCCCATGTTATACAGTCCTACCTCTACTAGATTGTGAAGAAGACCCAGAGCCAGAGTTGCCATTTGTCATTTTTAATCTTTATCTACCTATCGGCTATCACACAAGAAATAACAAAATAACAACAATTATCACTCAACCAATTGCAATTTCACCGCTGGTGAATCCAAGATAAATGCAAATAACTAAAGCCATTATTGTCTATAATGAAGAAATAACTAAAGCCACCAAAATATATAAATATATACTTGTCTCTAAATTACGCTACTATATTTAGAACTCTAAGCCAATACCAAGAAATTGATTGTCAAAACTCTAAGCCAAACATTTTAAGAAACATAATGAGCAAGTCCAATGGAGGCGTGAGGACAGTAATATATATATATATATATATATATATATATATATATATATTATATATATATAATGCATCTGCAAGTTTCTAAGGTCATCGGAAGAGTTGAGTGGTTTCAGCCAAGAAATAACTATGCTGTGTATACTACTTCAAAATTTCTAAACTTACCTCTATAGGTGTCATATTTTTAGAGATGAGGAACACATGCCAACCAAAGAGAGTACCAAATGCTAAGCTCAATGAAACCATCAATATCCCACAAGCAACCTAGAGTGTATAACGCATGACGAAGTTTAACAACTTAAACAACATGACATGAAGTTAACAAATTAACAGCATAATTTAACATTAAGACAGTAGAAGGAAAAGTTGTTGGTAAAGCTAAATTCTGAACGTGGCAAGACGCATAACAACATGACATGAAGTTTAACAACTTAAACAATTACAGAAATCAGCAAGCAGACATACCAGAGTTAACTTGATTGATAGAACAAAACACTCACCAGCAAGCATTCCATTCCACAGACAACATAATTTTAATCATAGATAAATAATTAAACAAACATATAAAAAGATGGTGAAGGAGAGAAATCTAAAAAGTAGTAGAACACCAAAACAACCATAAAATCTCTGCTGATCTCTTTGATTCAACCAAATCCTACACATTTTCACAAAAAAAAAAAATCAAGGTGTTATAGAATCCAAAACAACCATAAAATTTCTGCTGATCTTTGATTCAACCAAATCCTACACATAATTTCAAAAAAAAAATCAAGGTGTTATAGAAATCATTTTGCTCCCGCAACAAATTGAAAGATCTAAAGCCCTTAACATACCTTTAATAAACTTTTGGTTCACAAGGCTGCATTACCAACTAAACAAGAAAATTTACTCTCTTTATTAATCTACAAAAACCAGGAGAATTCGAGACCTATGTTGCTTGCAGTTCTGCCTAATGGCCAACAGCCCCAGCATGATTTGCCTGCTAAAACAAAGACAAGGGAATTCTGTGATTGCCATCAATCTAGACAAGCTTTCCTTTAGTCACCTAATCTACAACACAAGGTTCATGTTACACATATTCCTTCCTGTCCAGTTTCCCAACTCTCACCATAAAATCCAAACCTTAATATGTGGAAACAGAAATGGAATTGGGGGCTTGAATTCTGCTTCAGGATTAATTAATAGATATTAGTGATGTGTGGCGAGAGACAGTTTGGATTGATCTTCAAAACCTTTTTGCATTCAACAGAGTAATAACCACATCGTGATGCACAACTTAGGAGATGAATTAACATTTGCAAACAAAATGCCTTACTCAGTAAGATGCACAAAATTGAGACCGTGGACAATTGAATTTTCGGTGCCTTTACAAAATATTGAAAACAGGAAAGAAAAGAACTAGTTCACACTTGTCTGCATTTCCTACACATTCATCATAGACATATTAAATTCATCATACAACATAAGAACATGCTCAAGATCATGTTAATTCAACAACACAACAGCTCTATAGATTTCCAGCGAAAT